GAGGACGAGGAGGGGGGGGAGGAGGACGAGGGGGAGGAGGAGGAGGAGGAGGAAGAGGAGCAGGAGCGAGGGCGGCGTGGCGTAGGGGGGTGTGGTCGGGGCTCGATTGGCTTGGTCCATGTCGGAGTAGAAGAAATTCACTCTGCCTCCCAGAAATACATGCAGCTGCTCCCGAAGCGGCCGAAAGGAGCGGTGATCGAGCCACGGCAGGAGAGACGGTTCACTTGATTGAGACGGACGCCGGAGACAGGACAGCATAGATCACGAGAAGGGACTATCCTAAAGCTTCATGTGTTATGAGTTTGATCCACGAAACCAAAATGAGCTCTGCGTAGCTACACGCGTGTCGACTCACGCACAGACAGGCGTTCCCGCCGCGGCGACAGGTGGTGGCCATTTTGGGTGGAAACCTCGCAAGGATGACTGCGGGGAGGGAGTGTTTTTCACGGTGCAGAACAATGTTGCAGATCGGACGGGCGAGCTTTGAGCGCCAACGCTAAGCAGCTGAAGGTGGCGATGAACCGAGTATCACGTTCCAGGTGCTTGACAAAGGGCCCTTCAAACCAGTGCCATGGCAATGCCCGGAACCAACAGCCGCAAGTACAACAAGTACAACATGTGCTGCGAGATATCAACGCCGCCGTGTGCGTACGTTCGGGAACAACACTCCGCCCTCTCGTGTTCACATGTTTTGTCTCGCATAGGGCATGGTGTGCCCAGCATCGCATGGTTTGTTGTTCGGTTTCCGTTCTCGTTATACCCTGGGTATGGTCGTCAATGTGAGCCATGGTTTGTCGGGAGATACGCGATAGTGACATGCTGAAGACTACGTTCCGCCTTGTAGACAGCAGTGGGTAACTATCTCACTAGCGATTGAGCTGCATCGTGCTTGAGAGTGCACGACAGCGCTACTGTCATGTTGTGCGGGGTCGAAAACCCTCACTCCGCGCATGGGAGATGCCGCTCCATTTTTTTTCACGTTTCACTCATATTGGTGCCCCCCTACAATCCCAGCCACGACCAAGCGGCCCTAACGTACCAATGGCAACCCTGGCTAGGTAGCTTCATCCCCTTGAGAGCTGCCAAATACACCGGTTGCTCTTTGCACCAAAAAACTATTATTTAGCTCTATCTAGCACCTGCACAGCACCACACAGCTAGCTGCACACCATCTTGCACATCCCCGCGCAACGAACGTCGTTTCGTATTTCCCGCCCAAAAAGAAAGATTTATGACCCGAAGAAGGCAAAAAAAAAAAACTTTGAAGACCAAGAGACAACGTTAACCGGAAAGGTTCATCTATGTGTACTGACCACCAGCGGTCAAGTAGAGAAGTCCCCCCTGCCGCGCCACAAGCCAAACGGGAGCACACTCCTGCTTTGTTGAGGAAAACCCCCAAACCCAAGAGCGGCCGCAAAACACAACATGAAATCGAGAAACTAGCGCCGGGTCGAGACGCCTCGTCACGCACTATGCCGCCCAAAGATGGAAGCACCACGTTTCATTACCTTCTTGACCCAGACTATCCTCTTATCTAACAACAGCGCCCAACAGCATGGTGTACCGAGGCAAGCTGCGCGGGGGTGCTGGTCAAAATTCGCGGTCAGACCCGCTCAAAGGCCGCGTTGAGTAGATACCGCTGTTACGCTGCTGCTGCTGCTGCCGTGTGTGTGTGGGCGGGCAAATGTCTTACTGCTGCATGTGACCATACATACAACGCTTGTGCCTCTACAACAGCACGCTTTTATGTGGTCTTTTCCTTCTGCCAGTTACACCGTACGGCCCGCTCGAAGACCAACGCCTTCCCCGAGAGCCCATCCCCCCCGGGTACAGAGGATGCTCTTAACCAACCAAGGTTTCGAGCTTCCTTTGTTCCCCTCTCGTCGTGCACACACGCTTCCCAGCTGCGCACAATCGAATACCTTGAGTTTCCGAGATACCCCACCCACTTAAAAAAGAAAAAAAAAACGAGCATGATTCACGCATCCAAAAACAGCAACCAAAAGCAAAAAAAGGCGACCTGCCTTGCGCCGTATATTTTCATTCTGCACATTTGCGCCGAGCGCCTGTCTCAACCGAACACTCGGGTTTTTACTTGAGCTCCTCAAAGGTGGGGTACCCCCCGCCCCTCTGCAAGCCTCGGAGTTTGTAGAACGCCTTCCTTTCCTCACTGATCACGTTGTTAAAGGGCATCTTCAACGCCTGATTGGGGGGGGGGGGGG